CAAGGCCTCTAATTATTATTTCTCGAGTACCGGTACGCGGTGTAAGTATTAGTTATGTAAGCATAATGAAGGCGACAACCATAATTTATATTCATTCACTAGGCTATGGCTGTGACCATGCCCATGGTGACTGTGATGAGTGTGAGTTTCTCAACGCAAAGACTCGTACTACAGTCACATGACTGTACATTTATTTTTCAGTCATCTGGTCAGTCATTGTACAGTCACCTGATGATGGGCCTTGCCCGAAAATTTGAGCTAATGACATTATGTATAGCATTAGCAGTGTATTATGTAGCCTAGAGACCGTTAGAGAGAGTGTGTACAACTGGTGTGTGTACAGGATGTATGGATTCAAGCATTGGCTACAGTAAGTAAGTAAGTAAGTAAGTAAATTATCGTGTCCGTTCCCGAAGGGAACTCACGACGGCCGCTAACACCCGGCTACAGGCTACAGGCTATTGGCTACAGTGGAGTCTCCAAACCCTGAGAAAATAATTAATTGTACAGTCATGTATTTGTAATGAATAGAAAAATTGAAGTACAATGCACCCCGCGCTGTGACCGCTGTTACCATGGTGACCCGGTACCCGTAGATCTACCCGTCGACTAAAATCACTTCCACAATCGTGTACGTGTCCTGGCCAGACAGCGACCTCATGAATCATGAATATCATTGAGGACACACACACACACACACACACACACACACACACACACACACACACACACACACACACACACACACACACACACACACACACACACACACACACACACACACACACACACACACACACACACACACACACACACACACACACACCATTGGACCATTGGACGCGCATCGCCGGAGGAGATGATAGCGATGCTACAGCAGAAGCCATAGCAGCTTACACACACACACACACACACACACACACACACACACACACACACACACACACACACACACACACACACACACACACACACACACACACACACACACACACACACACACACACACACATACACACACACACACACACACACACACACACCATGATGTGCCATGTACCATGTATACGCCCGTCGCTAGAGAAGCACGCAAATCTGCAAATACACTGGATATGGATGTGCACCCACAGATTTTCTCTATAGCAACGATAGCGAACAAGATCTGAATGAGACAGATCAAGACTTGCGCCAGATAACAATCTAATCCACACAACTGGCGAAGCCATAATGAATCGACCACCAATGCACACCTGGTCTACACCATACAGAGTACATCGCCTTAAAACAGCCAAGACTATGCACACCCTACACTTGCTGGGGTAACCAGTATAGACAGCACGGTGCTTTTGATAGAAGCAGACACTAGATGTCCTGGTACCGTGAAGTGAAATTGGAGTTATTTTACCAACCAGCCTTGGCTACTGAGTACTGGGAACCCAACAGACATACACACACACACACACACACACACACACACACACACACACACACACACACACACACACACACACACACACACACACACACACACACACACACAGACACACACACACAATTGTTGTACTTGTTGCTCACTGCCAAAACTGGTCGCGTGGGTCTCCCCGGGAGAGGGGAGAGAGACTCAAAAGGAATCTTGGAAAGATGACTGAATTGGCTATATTATTATTGAACCGCCCAACGGCCGACACCCCCTGAAATCCCCAAAACTCTGGGTGGACTTGAAAATGATCCCACTGATGGGCTCACCACACCTCAGTAAGTAGGTGAGGACAAGGTGCAGAAAAAGGATTGACGGCATCAGGGTATCCGTCTCGGGATCCAACTGCAGTTACCCCTGCCCCCAGTGAAGGCAATACTTGGTACTAGTGTGGGTGGCTAAATCAGAGTGGATCTTATAATTATAAGCTTCACTAGCACCATTGATTACACAAGAGTTAATCTAGCCAGAAGTAGTCCATGGGTAACAGGTATGTATACTTCAAATAGAAAGTATATTAACCCTGGAACCAACAAAGGTGGCAGATACAACAATACACCTTCAAGCAGCCGAGCCTGTTGGCAACAGACCCAACACAATCAGGCATAAGTGTACCCACCAACCGAACTAGCTGGCACATGCGCAAATAGTCAATCACGCATGCACGCATCCACACATCCACACACACACACACACACACACACACACGCACACACACACACTCACACACCTTTGGACCATTGGACGCCCATCGCCGGAGGCGATGATAGCGATGCTACAGCAGAAGCCATAGCAGCTTGTGCTGGGATTGCACCATTCAACAGCTTGCAAGGCTGAAGAATTGACCGCCACTATTCAGCCTGGTCTACACCACACAGCTATGAAGTGGCTTTTTCTGGCCAGTGAATCCCTACTTTTTGGTCTAAAAAAAAAGACCACACACACACACACACACACACAAACACACACACACACACACACACACACACACACACACACCATGTACCATGTATACGCCCGTTGCCAGAGAAGCACGCAAATCTGCAAATGCACTGGATGTGCACCCACAGATTTTCTCTTTATAGCAACGATAGCGGATCTGATTCTGATTGAAACAGATCAAGACAAGCGCCAGATAACTGTCTAATCCACACAACTGGCGAAGCGATGTAAATCGAGTTCAATCGACCCCCCCCCCCCCCCCCCCCCCCCAATGCACACCTGGTCTACACCACACGGAGTACATCGGAATAGGACGGCTAAGACAGTTACCCATGCACACCCTACACTTGCTGGGGTAACCAGTATAGACTGCACGCTGCTTTGATAAAAGCAGACACTAGATGCATGAGTACCTTGAAGTGAAATTGGAGTTATTTTACCAACCAGCCTCGGCAACTGGGTACTGGGAACTCAGGGCCAACAGACGTACAATTATGTACCAACAACCTCAGCCATGAAAGCTACACACACACACACACACACCATTGAACCATTGGACGCCCATCGCCGGAGGCGATGATAGCGATGCTACAGCAGAAGCCATAGCAGCTTGTGCACACACACACACACACACACACACACACACACACACACACACACACACACACACACACTGTCGGACACACACACGCATACACCACACATACATACACACACACACACACACACACCACACCACACCACACCACACCACACACACACAAGTGCGGCGCGCGCGCTGCGCAAAGGCATACTAAAAGGGGTGTTCGAATTGTCAATGTCACTCATTGACTTTTAGGAGTTTCTTTTTTTCTGAAGAGGTGGCTTATTGGCTTATTGGCTTATTGGCTTATTGGCTTATTGGCTTATTGGCTTATTGGCTTATTGGCCTCTTCAGAAAACTAAAGTGTATGCTAGCATTATAAGTAGCATTATATGCTTGTTTTAGTAAACTAGCACTGCCGACATTAAGGGCATAATCGCAGCAAACTGGCATTATGGGTGCTTTTGATGCCAACTACTGAACTAGCAGACGAACGAAAACTGGTCACACGCGCAGTCCGCAGCCGTCTGAGGCGTGGTGTCTCCAGCGTCATCGGAATCATGATTCATGGTCACCATAATAATTCCCATCTAGCTAGATATCCAGCACTCCTACACTCTACATTTGGTATGCTTATCCAATAGGCGAAAATCTCGCAACAATGAGGTGTTGTTGCGCCGGTCAAAATGCTACATTATTGTTGCAAGCTACTTGGTTCGGATTCTAGTCAGCTGCCGCTGCAGTAGGTACTATTACACTGACAGTCTGCACTACCTTCTAGGTTTCACTCCTACTACAAAAATGTGTAGTCCGAAACTGGAAGCTTCACCGCACATATGGCTATTCTGAGAAAAAGTGATATTAGTTGTCACCGTCCTTAGTCGATCTCCCTTCCACTTTGGACTTTAGTTCTACAAGTGTCCGTGATTTAGCGGGAGCGGCCAGGTATGGATGATGGCGGAGGTAGTTGTGATGACGACAAGTCGTATGAAATGGTTGAAAATGTGTCAGAGTCGGAACAGTCGGATGAAACTGAACTGGGTTTGCGCATCCTCCTAAAATAACTCCCCTAGAAAAGAGAGGGCCAGAACCGGTTCAGATGATCGCAACCGACCGGGGCTCTACCACTGAACCGTGAATGGTTGTAGAAAGGTCACTATTTCCGAACACGGTGTCCTCCACGTTATCACATGTTGAGGTGTGCATGTACTGGGTGCAAGAGAAAATATTTTTAAAAAGACGTACGTTTCTCAAGACCATGGTCACTTTATTGGTGCGCTAAGAAGAAAACGCGGCTTAGTAAAAGCAACAACGATAAGATGTGTGACCATGGTGACCCATACACATAGAAAGACTGATGACGAACAGGTGCAAGTGACAGTTAGTGCGAAGATTCGAAGAAAGAAACCAAACTCGGTACTGATGTCCATTGCCCATTGGTTGTCTATTGTTGCTGCACCACATCTCATGCTTAGCGGTAGGTTTCCGTGACACTTACACCTTTTTGTCATGCTTGCTCTTGCCGTACATATCACCGGAAGAGAAGCCTCGAAAGTATTATGTATATTGTAATTCTGAACAATTTCGAAATGTTGTTGAAGAACGTAAAGCGTGTTTGTTCTCTTTCTAAAGCTAAGTGTTCTAGAGTAGATAAAAGTAATTTATTATAATAGTTTGACTACACCATAGCTCAGTGGTTAGAGCATCGCTGGCTAAGAGCGAGGGTCCCTGGTTCGAGTCCTGGTGGTGACAGTCAATTTTTTCTTCAGACTTTTCCCGTATGTCTCTTTCCCTCAAACCAGTTAACATTTATTTATTATAATAATTTATTTACAGCCGGCGGCAGTAAAAGTAGGTATCACCGGTGTAAAACAATGCATGTTGTATTCGCAGATCTACATAATTATGCAGCAGCATGCGCAAGGAATCAAAGAGACTGTGGACAGCACTCGCACTCAACTCCCAAATTAGTCTGTGAAGCCAGACCGGGGACAATGA